ACTTCTCCCAGAAGATTTACTACACATCATTTTCAAAACATTAACTGGGTTTAAAATAAAAGATTGACAGAGACTACTATGGTGTTTAAAAAAATGATGCTGTACCTGTGATGTTACATAAAACCTAGAGAAACTGGTACATACAAGTCAACATAAACATGGGGGTGTTTTCATGCTGGAGAACAAAGCATTTATTTCAAGTGTAAACTCGCAATTTGTAATTTTTCAAAGTATGATGACTAAGGAAGGAAGGAAAAGGAAAGAAAGAAGGAAGAAAAGAAACGAAAGAAAGAAAGAAAGGAAAGGAAAGGAAAGGAAAGGAAAAGAAAAAAAAAAAGGAAAAATAGGGGAAATGTACAGCCCAAGGAACCTCCAGGCATCTGTGGGAGGGATACAGGGAAAAACAGGAAACCAAGGAGGAGAAAAGGCCTCAAAGGCCTAAGCCAAAACCTAGGGTGGGAGGTAGGGTGGAGGATGGAGCAGATCCTTCCTGGTAACAGAGAAAAGCCAGAAAAGCCAGGTCCAACCGCAAGACGGTGATGCCACTTGTGTGCCCTCAGATTGGAGAGGCCCCAGATGAGTGACGGCTGGTGCGCGCACCCCGGGAGCACGCACGGCGAGGTGGAGGGGGGGGGATGTGCAGTGCGTCAGCCTGGGGCGGCGAGGTGGGGGGGCTCTTGCCGCACTGGCCGCCCGAGGTGGGGGGCGAGCTCGGCGGTGACGCGCGGCCCTCACGTGACCCGGAGCTGCAGAGCGACGCAGCCTTGGGTGCAGTCGTCACTCGCGTCTGGCTAGCAGCTCCCCGCCGCCCAGCGCACGGCGGGCTGGCATCGGGCCCGGGGAAAGCGGAGCAGGTAAGGCCCGGGGGCCCGCGCGCCAAGGCCCGGCCCGCAGCCGCTTGCCGCCCGCAGCCGTTTGCGGATCGCAGCGAGGCAGGTGCAGACAAGCGCGGCGGGCGCCCGTCTCCTCCACACCCTGGCTTTCGGGGAACACAAGTGGGGCCCCCTTGGAGTGGGGATGCGGGGCGGTTGGGGTTTCGGGGGAGGCGCAGCGGGGCACCTGAGAGCCACAGGAAATCACCCTCTAGTCCCTGCAATGGGAGCACCTCTGGGAGGGGGTGGAGTGGGATGGGGGGGGGTGGCGAGGAAGAAAGGCCTGAACACAGGGCGAGGGACGGCGCCGGGTTCTGCAGCTTCCCTCCACCCCCACCTCCCCTCCCTCACCCTGCCCTGTTGTGTGCAGGTCTACAGGGCCAAGTGAATCTGTGAAGACGCGGGTCGCGTCAAGAACCCGGAGGAGACCTCAAGGATAGGCCCAGGTCTGTTAAACGGGCATTGCTGGAGGGCGGGGACAAGAATGTGCGGAAAGTCCAGCCCGAGACCCAGACCCCAACTCTTTCCTCCATGCACCTCCCCTAACCATTCCCATCCTCCATTTTGATGCCTGCATAGCTCTGGGAAAGAATCCTGGGAAAGAAAAAATGGAGGGCTTTGAATGAGGGAGGGAAAAGGAGAGGACTGGAAGGAGGGGCTCAAATTGGAGGCCCCCTAGAGGGCGCAAGGAGTGTCGAAGGTGGGAAAAACGAAATAAAAAATCAAAACAAAACAAATAAAAACCCTTTGCTATTAGGTCCCTGAATCCTGCTGCACAGTGCCCCAGGCATTCAGTTTGCGTCCTTGCCCTTGTCTTACTTGTGTTCAAAGAAAAACAGCCAGAAAAAAAAATCTCATCATGGCAAATATCCGCCAGGAAAACGGAGAAATGGAGCAGCCCCTGCAGAATGGAGAGGAAGATCGCCCCCTGGGAGGAGGTGATGGCCACCAGCCTGCAGGAAATAACAGAAGAGGACAGGCTCGGCGACTTGCCCCTAATTTTCGATGGGCCATACCCAATAGGCAGATCAATGATGGGATGGGTGGAGATGGAGATGATATGGAAATGTTCATGGAGGAGATGAGAGAAATCAGGAGAAAACTTAGGGAGTTGCAGTTGAGGAATTCTCTGCGTAATCTTATGGGCGAGCTCTCTAATCACCATGACCATCATGATGAATTTTGCCTTATGCCTTGATTTCTGCAATTTTCCATGAGATTAATACTGTGATTCCTGCTGTTTTCCTTTTCCTGCATTTTCCTTTTAATGCCTTTACTAATCTATGTGCTGTGAACCTGGTGTTATTTCCATGTGTCGGGTGGGTCTTGTGTTGCCAGCTTCTAATTGGACATTGACTTTGTGCCCAGTGTTTCTGTCAACGTAGAGTTTTACCCATTTGCATGGAAAAAATGTAAAGTTAATAAAGCAATTAAAAAGCATTCTATACGTTATTGTTTTACTGAAAGCCACATGTATGTATATATGAACATCCCCTCCCTCAGCCTGAAACAGCAGAGTTAACTGGAGCACCTTCTTGTGTGGTAAACAATGAAAATAAGTTCCAATGTCTTTATGAATGTAACAAGGGTATATAATAATTACTAGGTCAACAAACCTTAATAGTAAATCTCCTTTGTTATAGATATAATCATTTAGTATATTTTCTTTTGTGAAATAGGGGAAATACTTGTTTTCCAGAGCTGTTGAGTGGAGCCTATCAGATGTGGAACTGTTCACTGGATCTTGTCCATTTCCCCAGCATTTCACAGACCACAGGGCCCCATCAAGTAATTGGGGGAGAACTGGAGGGAGGTCTTTCCACATGCTTACATGTCCATACAGAAAATAAAATAGGTTTCTCCATGTTACTCCTCTGTTATCTGCAGTCTTGCTACCCTGAATCAGTCCTGTTAATTAGAGATACTGTTCCTTTTGACGTCCTAACTTACAGAACATAAATAGACTTGAACCTTTTACTTGTGTTCACTCCTTGGGGTGGATTTACTTGGGAGACTCAGCAGGCCTGTCCACTCAGTTAAACAGACTTAATTCAGACATACAAATAACATTGGGGTGTGGCATATTCTTCATAAAGCTGAGGCTCTCATCTCCATCTTATCCATTCCTGGAATACGAAAATAAGCCTTTGAGAAGTATTTAAATATTTGGCATTGTGATTTCTGTGTAAATGTGAACCTCTTCTCCAGTGATTTTGAGTGAATTATCCTTGGGCTCAGTTTCCACAACAGTATCTAAGTTATTGTTTTCATTGGTTAACTAATACAGTCAGAGATCCTGCTTAATACTATTTCTGACCCTAAGTGATGGCAAGGAAGTAACTTTACCTGGAAATTAGTACATTTAACTAACAAGCAGCCTCAAAACAAAATATTTACCTAGACAAAATGTTAAGAATGGTAATATTTGAGTGCCCTGTCCACCTACCTTCACCCTCACTTTTAGCACCATCTGAATCAGGAATTGTTTTAATAGTTGCTCAGCGATTTTCACTTATCTAAGTAACATTGGAAGAGTGAACACTGATGGAAATTAAACCCGTTTTGCTGGTTATGAGCTTAATTGTGTCTTACTTTCATAATTAACAAATGCTTCCAAGTTGGACTACATTGAATAATCAAAGTATGGCACTATGTAAACTCACTACATTTTGTTTCTAAATTTCCTATTAAATCGGTGCATTAATATGGATGTGTTTGGGGGAACCGATTCTGTTTATTCAGAATTTTGATAATTTGTCTCTAGGATACACTCCTGATTTCTGTGTACTATTAACATTCCTCCATCGCTTTTGTTTGCTGAGTAAGGTCTTACTTTGCAGTCCAGAGTTGATCCTCCTGTCTCCTAAGTACTGAGATTGCAGACCTGTGGCACCACAATAGGCCCAATGGTAACTTTTTTCGTTCTAGATATACCTTTCTTTTTTGTTATTATGTATTAATTATACAGAACAATGAGTTTTATGTGACATTTATGTATATCTGCACAACATTTTGATAATCACTCCTATTACCATCTTTTCCCTTCTCTCACTTTCTTCATCTTTCCTAATAGAGTCCCTTGTACTTTTATGTCTTTTCGCTCTTTCCACATATGAGAGAAAATGTGTGATACTTGCCACTGTCACTTACAAAGTAAAAACAAAATTACTGACTAAAGAGGTTTGTTTCATCAATCTGGGCAGTTCCACTGCCCAAATTCCAGTCTAATCTCCCTCATTCTCCCCCGAATGAGTATGTTTCCTCATTTGATAGCTCAAGTGGCTTTTAGGGAAAAGCAAGGGCATAGAGAGCTGTGTGGTATGATTTCCAGTGTGTGCGTGTTCAAGGTTTCACGGTTGCTATAGAAACCTGACGTCAACGTGGCGACTGTGGCTACCTTGACGACTTTCTAATGGAAATCAACGTGACCAGGTTCTAAAAGAGGGGTCTTGTTTCCAATTGTTTGGATTTGGCTAAGGGCTTTGAGTGTCTGCGAGGGGTGGGGGTGGGGTGGGGAGGACGGAGGAGGAGGTCCGAGGACACAAGAGATTCCAAACCCTAGTCTGCTATTTTCCCAGCTTCAGTACTTGTTCTGTCTCGTGATGCAGAGAGATGGGGAATGCTTCTTGCATATCGGAGTGTGATTTCCTTCTCTGCTGAGTTCTGGGAATGAGCAGGAATAGAAAATGCTGTGGGAAGTGAGTCCAGCGGCCATGTCTGTGAGGTGGGAAAGAGAATGTCTACTCATAGGGACTTTGAGAGACGACCTACAACTGCACAAAGTCATCTCCCTGGGGTCACTGTTTTATCACCAGGATCTATGAGTACAGAAGTAGGTCATGAGAGAACAGGAAGATTGAGGCAGAGGAGGAGGATCTGAGTTCAAGTTCTGGTACAGGAAAGAAAAAAAATCAGACAAAATAGGTTTAAACAAGCACACACACACACAAAGCACGCTTGTAACATACATGAAAAATACTGAATGTCATAAATTATGTTAAAGAGGGAGGAGAGTTAGGAAACTTACGTAGATCTTAGGCCAAAAAAGTCCGTGCCTGCTGTTGCCGTGGAAACATGACATCATCACAGCGACTCAGGACACGATTTTTAATGGAGACGGAAGTGATCTGCTAAGAAGGAGGAAATAAGCTATTGCCTTCTTCTAAGGGTTTGAGTTCCCAAAGTAGGGTCTGAATCGACCTGGGAAGCCGGGACACACGCCAGGATCCCAGACTCAAATCGGCTGTTTCCGCTTGGGGAGTCGCTGTTGGAATGTCTTGTGACGGAGAGAGAGGTGAGACCCTCCGGCTCTTGTGAGTACTGTGCCCTGCCCTGGAGTGTCCTGGAGCTATTTTTTTTTTTTTTTTTTGAGCGAGGGAGGGAAATGCTGAGGAATTACTGAGTTTGCGTTACCGTCTAAAGTGGATCTCTGATGTGTAAACAAAAATGCAGTTGGTTAGACAAACTTGCTAGGCATTTGAGATTGTAATATATATTCTGTAATAGGAATTTTTTTTTAAAAAAGTCTACAAATCTATTGAATTGCCTTTCCACCGTCATTTTTTTTTTTTAAAGAATCAGCTTTTTATGTATGTGCGTGAGGGGATCTGTTTTTTATTATTTGTTCCTTATTTATTTATTTATTTATTTACTGGGGCTTGAACTCGAGGCTTGGGTGCTGTACCTTAGCTTTTCCCCCAAAGGTTAGCTCTCAACCACTTCATTCTCAGCTCAACTTCGGACTTTTTTGATGATTATTCAGAGATAAGAGTCTCCTAGACTTTATACTGCCCTGGAAGGCTGTGAACCACAATCCTTAAATCTCAGCCTGCTGAGTAGCTAGGATTGCAGGCTAGAGATCCTTGCTGTGGGCTATTCTATACCTTTTATATACCTTTCTGTTTTGTTGCCATTTTCACACTTTCTTGAGTTTATCCTCTGACATTGTTATTTTTCAAAATTATTTTTGTAGTCCACTCTATTTTTTTTGTGGATTTTAGAATTAATTTCTGTCTGGAAAAATCTATTATAAAGTTTGTTGGGATTGCACTGAGTCTATAAATCAGTTTGAGGAAAATAGACATCTTAATAATAATGAATCTTCTATTTCAAAAAATTATGCATTTAGGTCTTTAATCTCTTTCACCAATATTTTGTAATGTTCAGTGGGCCAGTATTGCATAACTAAGGAAGACTTCTTTAATTATTTTATAGTTCCTTATTCTAATATAAATGATGAGTATTTTAAATTACATTCCACATATCTATTTTTTATTTAACTATTCAATTGTTAGCAGGCAAATGTTTAAAGTAGCTATTGAAGAGTCTTCTAGGTTGAAATCTCAGGTTACTTACTCTATGATGAAAAGGTAGCGGCTGCTTAACATGTATTTGCCCATGGTTCTATGCCAGCTTTTAGAATTACTGGTCATGTACTGAAATTTTTTTTTGAGAGGGGGGTCTGGTTGTGGGGCCTGAACTCTGGGCCTGGGCACTTCAGCTCTTCAAATCAAGGCTAGCATTCTACCACTTGAGCCACAGCGCCACTTCTGGCTTTTTTTTTCTGCTTATGTGGTGCTGAGGAATCGAACCCAGGGCCTCATGCATGCAAGGCAAGCGCTCTACCACTGAGCCACCTTCCCAGCCCTGAAATTTTGCATAAAAATGACCTAGACTCAATTTTAGGAATGAGTCCTCAAAAACCTCAGCACTAAAATATGTGGTCAAAATTGAATCTGTAACCTCATGGATGTTTTTCTTCTTTATCTCTCAGCAAAAGTTCCTAAACAAATTGTTAGGGTCATTCGCATCATGGCTGAAGAGAATGAGATGGAGAATGGGGGGAGGGGACAGAAAGAGAAAGAGAGCTCTTTGTTTCTCTTTTCACAGCCTTCCTAAGCCAGCATGGTTACCATAGTGACTTGGGGACCACTGTGGGATTTGATAGAGGCTGTGTCCATTTACAATTAGTGATGGAATCACTTATTACCATGATAGACAGGTGTCAGTAGTTGCTTTTTCAATGCTTTTATTCCTCCTAAAATTATTACTTGTCTTTGAAAATAGAGCTTCCACTTCTCCCTTACTTGCTTGTTAATGTATTCATTCTCATATTTCCATTTTTCTTAAAAATTTGCATTTTATGTATTTTAGTGCTTAAATTTCCCACAATTGGCCAGTGGAAATTAATTTGAAACTAATTAATGTCTCCTTAGAATTCCTTGAGCATGTACTTTGCTTTTTGAGCAAAGTAGAAAGAAAGTAATGATGTCCATCTCACAGCAACCCTTTGAGAATTTGAAGAGAAAATGTCTGAAAGTAAAAACCTCAAGAAGGTCATCAGCAAATGTTAGCTCCCCAATGCAACTTTTTCTTTATTCTGTCAGTGCATGCTTCTTGTATTAGTATAATATAATGCAATACAATACTTAGAAATGTAACAGAAAGTAGGGATAAGCCCACATTTCCATCATGTAAGTCTCAATGTCACTGGTATATGGGGAGAGTTGTGGGATGGAAAAGGTAAGAAGAAATGAGGTCTCTGCACAGTTTTACCTAACTGAGTGATGATAAGCAACATCATCCACCCATTCTCTTCATTTAATGTGCTTTCCCAGCCTCATTTCCTCTTTATTTCATGTATTGTTTTTAAATTTTCCTTTCTCTGCCTTCTAGTGTAACATCAGAGAAAGTTGTGAAGTCTATACTACTGAACCAAAAGCTGTTAAAGAAAAAATAAAGTGTGCTATCAAGCCTTCTAGACAGGTTATATGAAGAGATCATGAGGACTTTGTAAGTCACTTCCCTTCCACCATCTTTGTCTATACAGCAGGATAATGTAACAATTCTCAATCCTTCTAATGACTAGGAATACTCTGGGGGTAGACTGTGATCCCTTGTGTGAAATCATGTATGGTCTCAGTAGGAGGGAAGGAGCAGGTCATTTTGGATAAATTACAATATCAGAGATCTTATAAATGTCCCAGAACACTGCATGGATAGCATTAAATTAGTCATACTTAAATGTGGGCTGCTGAAATCAGGATATTTTCATGTGGTACATGAATTGCTTCACCAAATTACTGAGTAGTGCTTATTAAAATAACAGACATCTGTGTTATGCCTAGAATTCTGCTGATATAATTTGTTTTACCAGGGAAGACCTATGGTCATGCCTTTTTATATTATTTTTCAGATAAAAAATCTCTTGGAACAGATTCTTAGAAGAGTGAGGGCTGGTCCCAAGAGAAGATACTTAAATCCCGTAAAAGAGAAGATTTTGAAATGGAACATCTGGAATATAGCAACAAGTAGTGGATGTGACTCTTACCTCATTCCTTTGATTCATTCCACATTCATTTTTTCCCTAGTGTGACATGGCTGAAAAAATTTCTTATTGATCCCTCAAAACAACTAATACAAAGAGCAAAAATACTAATGAGTCATCTAGACTGACACAGGGGATGAGGGTACTGGGCAAGGATAACATACCCTTCTACAGAATCAGGACCTTGTGTGACTCCTTTCCCTTTCTTGGCCTCTGATCTAATATAGATGGACACTGGTACAGAAGGGGTTAGGGGTGTGGGCTTTGGAGTGAGAGGAACCATTAATTGCTGATTGTATGATCTATGGCAACTTATTTGTCACGTCCTGATAATTAAAGGTGTCTTTTTTTCCCTCATCTTCCTCCTCTCCCACCTGCTCCTCCTCCTTCTTTTTTCCTATTATTCTACTGTACATCTAAAATTTGAATGATAGAAAAGTGGGTATTACATTGCCCACTTTTATTTTCATTGCATGTTCCACAAACCTTTGATTTTATAACTTTTCAACTGACAAACATGAGAAGAGTGAGACATATAACATTACTTTTATATTACAGATATAGCATCTCTAATCAGATATATTATTCAAACAGTGGACTTCATTAGTTAGAAGACTGTCATTAAAAGGTAAAATTAAATCATTTTATAAATTTTGTCATTAATCAGAATGTTTCATCCACTTATTAGTACTTAGTTTAAAAAATTAGAAGAGCCAAGCGCTGGTGGCTCACGCCTGTAATCCTAGCTACTCAGGAGGCTGAGATCTGAGGATCGAGGTTCAAAGCCAGCCTGGGCAGGAAAGTCTGTGAGACTCTTATCTCCAATAAAACCACTAGAAAACCGGAAGTGGCACTGTGGCTCAAGCAGTAGAGTGCTCACCTTGAGCTGAAGAGCTGACGGACAGCGCCCAGGCCCAGAGTTCAAGCCCCACGACGGACCATAAAAAAAATTAGAAGAAATTCAAAACACAAATAACAAAGTTAAAATTCTAACCTACATATACTGGATATATGAAATATAATATGTATATATGTATTATATTTGCACATATGCATACAAAGGAAAAATCAGTGGAATGAATACCATAAGTGAATTTCAGTGATGACAGAAATGCTTAGTATTATTATTTTTAATTGCTGTACATTACTGAGCATTAAACATTTTCAAAAAGAGATGTTCTAATATCCATGTAGTTTATTCTTTCTTTTCTGTCAGTCATGAGGCTTGAACTTGGGGCCTGGGCTCTTTGCTCAAAGCTAGTGCTCTATACCATTGTGACCCACAGCACCACTTCCAGTTGTTGGTGATTAATGGAGATAAAATCTCCTTGACTTTCCTGCCTGGGTTGTCTTTGAACTGTGATCCTCAGATCTCAGCCTTCTGAATAGCTAAGATTACAGGAGTGAGCCAGTACTCAGCATAACATGTTTCTTGAATATCTACTTCTTATATTTCATTTCAGGAATAAATACACAAAATTACAAAATTACTCCAAGTGGAGAAATATGTTATTCCTTCAGGATCTTACCTTTTCTTATCTCTTACAGGTAATCACTATCTGTTATAAGATGATTTTTCTTTTTTCTTACTTTTTTTTTTTCGGTCAGTCATGGAGCCTGAACTCTGGGCCTGGGCGCTGTCCCTGAGCTCTTCAGCTCAAGGCTAGCGCTCTACCACTTGAGCCACAGCACCACGTCTGCCTTTTTATACTTTTTTTTTTTTTTGGTCCAGTCATGGGGCCTGAACTCTGGGCCTGGGCGCTGTCCCTCAGCTCTTCAGCTCAAGGCTAGCGCTCTACCACTTGAGCCACAGCGCCACTTCTGGCTTTTTTCTTTTTGCTTATGTGGTGCTGAGGAATCGAACCCAGGGCCTCAGGCATGCAAGGCAAGCGCTCTACCACTGAGCCACCTTCCCAGCCCCACGTCTGCCTTTTTATATACTGAGGAATCCAACCCAGAGCCTCATGCATGCGAGGTGAGCACTCCACCACTGAGCCACCTTCCCAGCCCTTGATTTTCATTTTCTTTATTGTAAGGATGTTCTTCTTGTATTTATTTTCCATTTGCACTTCTTTTGAGAACTGTTTATTCATTTGTGCATTTATTATTTGTTTTTGTTGTTCAATTTTTTAAAATTTTATTTTATTGTAAAGATGCTCTCTGAATTAGTCCTTTGTCTGGTGAATAGCTTCTCTGCTCTGTGAATTGTCTCTTCATTCTGGTAATTGTTTGTTTGTGAAGAAACTTTTTTTTTTTTTTTTTTTTGCGGTCATGGGGCTTGAACTCTGGGCCTGGGCGCTGTCCCTCAGTTCTTCAGCTCAAGGCGAGCATTCTACAACTTGAGCTACAGTGCCACTTCCGGTTTTCTGGTGGTTTATTGGAGATAGGAACCTCACGGTCTCTCCCGCCCGGGCTGGCTTTGAACCGTGATCCTCAGATCTCAGCCTCCTGAGTAGCTAGGATTACAGGCGTGAGCCACTAGCGCCCGGCTGTGAAGAAACTTTTTTAAATTTGATGCAATCCCGTTAGTTAATTCTTGCATTTATTTCTGGAGTAATTGGAGTGCTGTTCAGAAGGTAACTTTACCTATGTCTATATCTTCACATTTTTTTTCTGTTCTCCTGCAGTAGTCTCAAAGTTTCTAGTTTTACTACAGATATTTGATTCATTTTTTTCTTTCTCTTTTTTCTTTTAATTTTATTGTCAAGGTGATGTACAGTGGGGTTACAGTAATATAAGTAAGGTAGTGATTACATTTCTTGTCTAACTTGTTACCCCCCTTCCCTCATTTTTCTCCCTCTTTCCCTTCCACCCCAACCCCCCCCCCCCCCCAAGTTGTACAGATAATTTCCAACATTACAATAGTATTGCTGTTATAGATTCCCCCTTTGTCCTTTGTCTCACTATTTTGTTGCTCCCCTTCCCTTCCCTTCCCTAGTTCAGATAAACATATATACAATACCCAGGACACCAGAATCAAATACAGTTACCACAGGGGATAAACCATAGGGGGGAAAACACAAAAGAAGAAAGAAATCACATAGTACATTGAGAACAACAAGAAAGAAAAACCTCTTGTGTCCATGTCTTGGAGTTCATTTTGCTTAACATCATCTTATATGGTCATATGTACATAGCTATTGAGCTGTTCTGCTCATCTGCTAAGTTTATCCTAGATATATACTAATTATTACAAATATGAGAGACCATGGGACCTATGTTTCTTTGGGTTTGGCTTATTTCACTTAATATTTTTTTTCCAAGTCCTTACATTCCTTGCAAATGGGTCCCTGTCATTCTTTCTAATGGAAGAATAGAATTCCATTATATATATATATATTTTTTTTTCTCGATTCATTCATCTACTGAGAGACATCTGGGTTGGTTCCATATCTTAGGGTAAATAATGCTGCGATGAACATAGTTGTGCTGGCAGATTTAGTGTGGCATTGTTTGTGTACATTTGGGTAAATGCCCAGAAGTGGGATTGCTGGGTCATAGGGAAGCTCTATGTGTAGTCTTTTGAGGAACTTCCATACTGCTTTCCAGAGTGGCTGATCAAGTTTATACTCCCACCAACAGTGTAGTAGCGTTCCCTTTTGGCCACATTCCCTTCAGCATTTGTTGTTATTTGGTTTCTTGATTATAGACATTCTAACTGGAGTGAGGTGGAATCTCAATGTTGTTTTGATTTGCATTTCTTTTATGGTCAGAGATGTTAGCATTTCTTCATGTATCTACTGGCCATTCTTATTTCCTCTTCAGAGAAATCTCTCTTTAAGTCTTTAGCCCACTTATTAATGATGCCATTGTTTCTTTGGGAATTTGTTTTTGGGGGATTTAATTTTTTTAGTTCTAACTGTGTTTTAGATATGAGACCTTTGTCTGTTTTATGACTAGTGAAGATCTTTTCCCAATCTGTGGGCTTTCTACTAATCTTGCTAGCAGAAGCTCTGCAGTTTGATGCAATCCCATTTGTTCAACCTTTCTTTGACTGGTTGTATTTCTGGGACTTTATTAAGAAAATGTGTCCTGTGCCAAAGAACCCTAGAGTTTCTCTGATTTCTTCCTGCAATGTTTTCAGGATGTCTACTTTCACCTCGAGGTCTTTGATCTATTTGGAATTGATTCTGGTGCAAGGTGATACATAAGTATCTGACTTTATTTTTCTACAGGTGTTTAACCAATTTTGCCAGCATCTTTTACTGAAGAGGCTGTCTTCCACACTATTTTTGGCTCCTTTATGGAAGATTAGGTGGCCATAGCTCTGCAGGTTCATTTCTGGGTCTTCAGTTCTATTCCATTGTTCTTCATGTCTGTTCTTGTGCCAGTACTAAGCTGTTCTGATTATTATACCTTTGTAGTAGAGTTTGAAGTTTGGTATTGATATTCCTCCAGCACTGTACTTTCTGCTAAGGATTGTTTTTGCTATTCGGGGTCTTTTATTGTTCCATATTAGTTTCTGGATTGCTTCCTATTTCATTAAACAATTTGGTTGGGGTATCGATGGATATTCCATTGAATTTGTAGATAGCCTTTGGCAGTATTGCCATTTTCATGACATTAATCCTCCCAGTCCAGGAGCATAGGAGGTTTTCCCACTTCCTGAGTTCTGCTTTAATTTCCTTTTACAGGTTTTTAAATTTTTCATCATAGAAGTCTTTCACTTCTTTGGTTAATTCCTAGGTATTTTATTTGGGGGGGAGGCTATTACAAAAGGAGTTGCTTTCCTGAATTCAGCTTCTCTCTTCTTGCCATTGGCATACAGAAAAGCTATAGATTTTTGAGAGTTAATTTTATACCTTCCTACTTTGCCAAACTTTCAGATCAGGCTGAGTAATTTGGCAGTGGAGTTTATGGGAGTCTTTTAATACAGAATTATGTCATCTGCAAAGGGGAAGAGTTTTACTTCATTTTTCCCCATTTGGATTCCCTTTATGTTTTCATCTTGCTTTAGCTAGGCCTTCTAATTCTATATTGAAGAGGAGTGGAGAGAGCAGACATCCTTGTCTTGTTCTTGAATTTAGAGGAAATGGCTTTAGCTTTTCATAATTAAGTATAATGCTAGCTGAAGGTTTGTCATACACATCCTTTATTATATTGAGGAATGTTCCAGGGATTCCTAGCTTCTTCAGAGCTTTCATCATAAAGGGTGTTGGATCTTGTCAAATGCTTTTTCTGTATCTATTGAGATAATCATGTAGTTCTTGTCCTTGCTCCTGTTGATGTAATAAATTACATTAATTGACTTGTGAATATTGAACCAGCTTTGCATCCCTGGAATGAATCCTGTTTAATCATAGTGTATGATTGGCCAGAATTTTGTTGAGAAGTATTACGTCGATGTTCATCAAAGAAATGAGGTCCGTACTTTTTCCTTTGATGACTCCTTGTCTGCTTTTGGGTTTCTTTTATTTTTTGCTTGTACTGGAGGTTAAACTCAGGGCTTTGTACCCTCACTTGGCTTTTTACTCATAATTAGTGCTCTACCATTTGAGCCAAATCTCTAGTTCTGCATACTTGCTGGTTAGTTGGAGATAAGTATCTCTTGGATTTGTCTGCTGGAGCTGGCTTCTAACTGCACTACCCAGGTATTAGCGTCCTAAGTACCTGTACTAGTTTAAATTTATCTTTGTACAAGTTGAAAGATAGGGATCTAGTTTTCATCTTTTAAACATGGATATCCAGTTTTCCTAATACCATTGGCTGAAGAGACTCTAAGGATATATGGCTATAACTGGGTTTATTTCTGGGATCTTCTGTTCTATACCATGTTTCTGTTTCTATGGCTCTATAGTATGATTTGAAGTCTGGTATTGTGATGCCTCCAACATGCCCTTTTTGCATAGGATGTCTTTGTGTATTTGCGATATTGTATAGTTTTGTACGAATTTTGGAATTGTGTGTGTGTGTGTGTGTGTGTGTGTGTGTGTGTGTGTGTGTGTGTGTTGATCCTGGGACTTGAACTCAAGGACTGGGGTGCCATCCTTGAGCTGCTTTTGCTCAAGCCTGGTGCTCTACCACTTCAGCCACAACTCCACTTCTGGCTTTGTCTGTTTATGTGGTACTGAGGAATAGAACCTAGGGCTTCATGCATGTTAGGCAAGCCACTAAGCCCCATTCCCAGCCCAATTTCTGGCCTTTTTTGGGGTAGTAGACTCTTATGGACTTTCCTGCCTAGTATGGTTTCAAGTTATGATTCTTATATCTTAGCCTCTTGCATAGGTAGGAATACAGATGTAAGCCACCAGCACTGGGCTTTAAAGTAATTTTTATATTTCTGAGAAAAATGACATTGGGATGTTGATGGACAATGCATTAAAACTACTTTCAGTAGTATAGCCATTTTTACAATATCAATTTAGCTAAACCATAATCATGGAAGATCCTCCTTCCATCTTCTAGTGTCTTCAATTTCTTTTGTCAGTTTTTTATAATTTTCATTATTGAGGTCTTTTGGGTCCTTAGTTATGTTTATTCCGTGGGGGGGAGGGGGCGCCTGTGTACTGATACTGGGGTTTGAACTCAGGGCCTGAATGCTGTCCCTTAGCTTTTGTGCTCAATGCTGGTACTCTACCCTGTCAGCAACAGCTACATTTCTAGCTTTACTGAAAATAAGAATATCATAGACTTTACTGCCCAGAATGGACTTGAACTTCAATCCTCAGATCTCAGCCTGCTGAGTAGCTAGGATTATAGGCATGAGCCACCAGTGCCCAACTCATTCCTGAATATCTTTTTAAGCTATTATGAATATTTTTTTATTTCTGCCTATTTATTTGGGGTTTGGCTTGTATCTGTTTTTCTTAGAGCTTGAGGTATTGTATTAGCTGCCTCCCTTCTTTATGTACTCTAAACTGCTGCTGGCTTCATGGAGCTTTATAAATCTATGGGGCTAGGAAGACTCCTACTTGCTGTAAAAGGCCCCAGGGAAAACACAACATGCAACCCCCTAATGCATCTAATGGGGGAAAGGGTCAGCACTACATTCTGCACTTGTGTTGGCAAACTCAAGGATTCAGATACTCTGCTTGCAGTTGACCTATAATGTTTTTAAGTCACATACTGTGATTGAAATAGAAAACAATCTAAATTAGAAAACAACAGTAAGACATGCATGAAAACTTTGGGGAACGTATTTGCAGACTAGATCAAGATTAATCTAGTATAGGCATGGTTTTGACATACAACATGAAAGAGGTTATGATATAATTTTAACTGGTTTCAAATAAAGCTGTATATCAACAATAGATATGTTATAATATGCTGACACCACAATGAATTAACTGATGCAAATGTACTTATTTCTTTAGAAATCCTGAGCATATGAACTGGAAAATCTAAGATGCACATGCAGATGTTTCTGAGCATGTATTTTTTGAAACATCTGTGTGTAAGGTACATGGTCACATACAGCTCACTGTAATATCACGTCTATAGAATGTATACCATCCTACTGACAACTCCCTAAGGGTCAGGTAAGACTAAGGCCAGTGAGAAATGCAAATTTATTTCAAGTCATAAAGGTCCTTCTTTGTATTGTTTGAGTTTTTGTATCTATCATACAAGGTAGATTTTCAAAATATAAAACAAAATACTTGTGTAGAAATTAATTTAAAAAGAAAGGTACACACATGTTCTTTTCTTTGTAAAAGTAGTCATTACATTAGTTTGATGAAATGAATTATGTGGACAAATGGAATCAAATTTGTGTGTGTGTATGTGTGTGTTTCTAGCTTCTTTAGAATATGGCTTGTAACTGTAGCTGTATCATCAGTCTAGACTATGACTTGTTTCTAGTCTCAGGTTTAGATATCTCATAAAATGTGCATTTGTACATTCCAGGAAAATGGCTTTACATTTTACAATGAACAAATACCATAAAGTGGGCGAATGTGATAAAAAGTTATGTTTGGGAACTGCACACATAAAGTTTAAGCCATTCCATTTGCCTGTTCATGCAAAATGTTCCTGGTATTCAATGATAAATCTTGTGCATCTGCAGTAGGTTGAGATGGGCACGTTGTAAAAGGTTCCCAGAGATCAAGGTTCTCACCTTCATTACTATTTGTCATATGTTACCTTACACATGTACAGGTTCCCCAAATTTTCTCTAACTTCTTTCCATAACTCCCTAGGTTACTGAAGACATCTGCCAGATCATGCCCTGTTTCCTACATCCTTTCTGTCACCTTCTACTGTACAGTGGCTCCTTATATCTGCTGCTGACTGGCAAGGTGCACTAGAGCAACGTGGTGTGATGGTATGATTTTACAATACTCTTTTATGCCTGTTATACTTTTCAGACAAAATTTTTCTAATTGCTCAAGCATCTTTGTGGAAATATTTGACAATGGCGGTACTGTGGTGCCACCTACTGACAAAATAGAGAATTGCAGCCTGTACATTTGCCACCACGCCCACCCTTCACAGCTCTCCAGAAGTCTGGGAAGAAGGGTGGACAATTCCAGTGTTCAGGGATACTGAAGATCACCAGACATAAAGCACAGCTTATCATTTTCATAAAGGGAAGTCTCATGTGGGATGATAAAAATATATTTTTTTAATCTCATTTTTATGGTTTGAAATCTCTAGATAGAGATATACAAGCAAAAAGTAGATCCATGCCAGTTAATTTTTGGATTACCATCTTTCCAGGAATCAATCAATAAATCAATATACCTATAAATTTATTAAGTATGTAATAAAGTTTATAAGTAAGCTTGTAATACATTAAAATCTGTGGTTGATTAATTGCAAGATATCACTATATAGCTGTTAACAGCCTTTCTGTGACAATTATATTTCCAACACCCTGGCTTTACATATGTATGTATCTGGACACATACGTACACATGCATGCAAATATGTATATAAATTTTTCTGTTAACATGTGAATTCAAAATACTCTTACTAATTTTCAGGCTCTCCAGCATGCAGATTTCCATGGTTGAAGTAGCTAGACTCCGATTGTGTTGTCTGTTAGTGGATATCAGCCAAAGCTGGAAGTTGAGACCAATAGGATAGAGGTTCCAGGCCATCCCGGGGAAGAAAATTACAAGAGACTTCATGTTGACTGAAGAAGCTTTGGTATGGAGGCCAGCACTCAGCTACAATGGGATGCCCAAGATGTGAGGATCAAGTCCTGGTATAGCATGGGCAAAAAGTGAGATCCTATCCCAAAAGAGCTGGAGGCTTGGCTAAAAGGTTCATCACCTGCTTGGCATTTGTGAGTCCCCAAGTTCAAACGCCAGTACTGCCAAAGAAAAATGTTAAGAAAGCAGCCCTGTCAGTGTGCAAATCCATTAGAAATGTGTAAGGCACTTACAGTAGTTAGAATCCTGTCTTCTCACAGAGGCTGGACATCTTATCTTGTCTTGTTTGCTGGTTACATTTCAAGGGAATGACTTTCAGTCTTTGAGGAAGACACTTCTGAGGTGGTGTAGATTCATATATGAGAGAACCTGGGGCATGGCTAGGGTGGTAGCTTAAGGCCCCGAGTTCAAACCCCAACACATTAAAAAATGGAAAAAAAGAAATGGAAAAAGACAGTGTGTTGTAAGCTATTTTTAGTAAGTGTACTAAGACAGGGAGTCAGCTGTTCATGTCAGGTACTGGACAGAACAAACTGAATTTATCAGGAAACCCTGAGCTTTCTCAGGTAGGCTTTTTGATAGAGAACCTTGGTCATCCTAGGACCTGCAGGTAGGAGCTTTTCTGGAGTTTGTGTCTGAGTACAGATATTTGGTAGGGTTCTTATATGCTCAGGGTTCTGCATTTCTCATGGGCATGAGCAAAAGTTTGTATTTCTTTCAGTCTTGGTATTCTCTGGAGTCCCACCCTAGCAGTGTCCTCCAGTAATTCTTTAACATTATGTCTAAACTGCATGTTTATTTCCTGTAGGTAACATAGGAAATACCCTGTCATTTCCTAGAATCAAAATGACAACTTTGTTTTTCAAATTTTGTATTTGAAAAAGGTTCAAACATTCAAAAGGGTAGAAAAGAATAAAAAGAAGACATCTTAGAATGACATTGCTTCTAGGCCCTTTCCTTAGGCAGAGCTAGGAAGTAGTTGAAAAACAATAAACACTTTTTGGGTGTACTGGAATTTGAACTTGGCCTAACACTTGCAAAGCAAGGGATCTACTACTTAGCCCTTTTCATTTTTTCTTTGTTTGATTGTTTTTGTGTCCGTACTGTGGCTTGAACTCAGGGCTTGGACACTGTCCCTGAGCTCTTTTTCTCAAGGCTAGCCCTCTGTCATTTGAGCCATAGATCCATTTCTAGCTTTCCATTAGTTAATTGGAGATAAGAGTCTCACAGACTTTCCTGCCTGGGCTGGCTTCAAACTGCAATTCTCATATCTCAGACTCCTGAGTACCTAAGATTACAGGCATGAGCTACTGGTGCCTGGCCTTTTACTTTTGTTAATTTTGAGATAGGATTTCCAGTTTATGACTGGACTAGCCTATACCACAGTCCACATATTTAGACTTTCTTGTAGCTGTGGTTGAAATATGAACATCACCATACCCAGCTTTTGGACCAGACTAGCCTCAAACCGCAATCTTCCCAATGTCAACTTTCTAAGAAGCTAAGAATACAGACATGAGCCACTGACTGCCAATCAATGATGTTTTTTTTTTTTTTGGTCGGTCGTGGGGCTTGAACTCTGGGCCTGGGCGCTGTCCCTCAGCTCTTCAGCTCAAGGCGAGCACTCTACCACTTGAGCTACAGCGCCACTTCCGGTTTTCTGGTGGTTTATTGGAGATAGGAGTCTCATGGTCTCTCCTGCCCGGGCTGGCTTTGAACCGCTATCCTCAGATCTCAGCCTCCTGAGTAGCTAGGATTACAGGTGTGAGCCACCAGCGCTCGGCTCAATGATGTTTTTTAAATTGGTATTTTCAATTCAAATTTGACTTTTTATGTTTCCAAATTATCTGCAAAGAAGAGGATCTTGGTTTAACAACAACATATAGCAAGGTATATTCAGGGAGCACTGATTTTGGTTCTGCTCTTCCTATTTCATTCTTTCCTTTTTTTATTGTGAAAATACTGTACAGAGGGGTTACAATTACATGGGCAAGACAATGAGTACATTTCTTATCAAGCATTGTAGCCTACTCCTTTGTTTCTTTTCTATAGGCAATAGTTTGTGTATGTTTTGGTTTGTCATTTCTTTTTTAATAAAAGCTGATTATACACATATTCTTATTTCTCATAGAAGCATTGTTGTAGATATTATTATATATATATTTTCACATTACAGGAGATCAAGGACATGTGTTTTTTGAGTAATAATACAGACTAGAGAATATCTTATCAATACCTTTATGCTTTGAATTTTTTATTTTGGTCTGACAAATTATGCCAAAGATACTTTGAGTTTTATTATTTTATTTCTCCTAATTTTCAATCATACCTCATTTTGTGTTTCTTGAACTATTTATATATTGAAGATCCAGGTTTCTTCTGGGTTATTATAAAAGAAAGTAATCCCTTTTTATCTTGTGAAGTCAACTATCAGGAATTAAATAGTACCATGAATGACTTCTATAACAGCATATGTAAAGACAAAAAGAAATAAAACTATTCATCTTGAAAGACAGACAGGTATGTAGCTGAATGTTTATTAATAATTGTGTCATGAAAGCTTATAATAGGTGTCCCTTCAGCTGTCCAACAGGCAGATGTGAATCTTTTAGGTGTACACTTCATTGATTTATTCATTTTTGTGCCAGTACCAGGACTTGATATCAAGGTCTAGGATTCTCACTGGCCTCTTTCACTCACAGCTGATGCGCTAGTATTTGAACCATAACTGCAGTCTGGCATTTACTTTGTCAGAAATAGAGTATTGTAGATCTTTGCTACCCAGGCGGACTTCAACCCTGATCCGTGGGTCTCAGTCTCTTGAGTAGCTAGGTTCACAGTTGTAAACCACTGGTGCCAGTTGAACTCCTGTAAAATAGACTCAACGGGTACTCCTGGCAATACAAAATGAATCCATGATAAGTTAAACATTCTGTGGATATACCTTTAATTTATTTTCAGTTTAAAATTTTGCAAAATCTGGCCAGGCCCTGATGGCTCAAAACCATTACTGTCATCAGGCACTCAAGAAAGCCTGTCTATGGACTGAGTGCTAGGGGAAGGGTTTGGCACTAGTTATGTGGACTGATGGAAAAGACCATCTTCCCTGCACTGCACAGGGTCACCTTGAATCCTTTCCCTGGGAAGGCTGTCCCCTAGAAGCCAGAGGACCACTGAGTACCCTTGCCTGCCTGCCAGAGGATGTTTGGGCAGTGTGTGTGTGTGTGTGTGTGTGTGTGTGTGTGTCCCCAAATTGGCACCAATTTGTTCTGCACACCCTACAAGAGTGACATTTGTGTGTGTGTGTGTGTGTGTGTGTGTGTGTGTACTGTTGCTTAATACCATCTTATCCAATAAAGCAATCACTTGAGGGGAGGACATGGTAGCTTCTGCCTATAACTCCTTTGGAGGCATAGATTGAGGGGATAAACTGGGGCAAATTTTGCAAGAGTCCATCTCAAGTAATAAACCAGACATGATGGCGTGGACCTGTAATCCCAGGTACACAGAAGACACAGGTGGGACAATTGTGGACTGTTGTCTGTCCTATGTAACAGTATAAGACCAGGCCATCTGGTGCATATAAAAAGTCTCTCAAAAATACCCAGTACAATCCAGGTACCTGTGGCTTGTGGTTATAGCCCTAGATAATTAGGATTGTAGTTCGGAGCTATTAGAGGCAGATAAATCTGTGAAACCCTTATCTTCAATAACTACCAAAAAGTCAGAACAAGATGTGTAGTTCAAGTGGAAGAGTGTCAGCAGTGTGCAAAAAAAAAGGTTGAGGCCCAGTGTGCAAGCTGTGATACTGCCACAAAGCAAACAAAACAAAATAAAATGTCCAACACAAAAGGAGGCAAGAGGGCTGGATCAACTAATAGGTCACTGGCCAAACAAATGCCAGTCTCTGAGTTCAAATTACGTTATAAAATTAGAAATGAGCTGGATACTCATGCCTCACACCTGTAATCCTAGCTACTCAGGAGGCTGAGATCTGAGGATCTCAGTTCAAATCAACCCAGGCAGGAAAGTGTGAGATTCTTATCTCCAAGTAACCACTAGAAAACCAGAAGTGGCAGCATAGATCAAAGTGGTAGAGTGCTAACCTTGAGCAGAAATGCTTAGAGACATAGTCCAGGCCTCAAGTTCAAGCCCCACAGCCGGAAATGCATACACACACACACACACACACACACACACACACACACACACACAGACATATAAAAACAAAACTGGAATATTTGAGTGTGACAAGTTTAGAGATATGTGTTATCAGCTACAAACATGCAGATTTCATGTTCTTTTATTTTAAAAAAAGAACAAAAGGCAAATGTGGTTTGGATATGGGGTTATCCCAAAGGCTCGTATAAAAATATTGGTTCTCAGTGTAGGAATGTTCATTATGCTTTGAGTTATAAGTGCTCTGACCTCATCACCTGATGGATTCAGGATTTGATGGTTTTACTGAGAGGGGATAGAAATTAGGAGGTAAGGCACGGTTAGAAAAAGCAAGTTTGGGGGAGGACATACTTTTGAAGGACACATCTTTTCCACAGCTGCTTCTGTTTTTCTGCTTCCTGTCCACCATGACATAATCAGCCACCCCTTTCACCTGTGTGATTTTCTGCCTCAGCATAGGCCAAAGCAATGAAGTCAACCAACCAAAAATTGGAGACTCTGAAACCATGATCCAATGTAAGTCTTTCTTCCATCTGAATTATTTCTCTGAGGAATATGTCCCACCTATGACAAACTGACATTTGTTGAAATGGTAATTTTTAAAATTAAGGCATTGAATAAAATATTAAAATGAACTTCTTCTATGTACTTTTATTTGTGTCTGTGTGCTCATCCTGAGGCTTGAACTCAGGGTCTAGGCACTGTCCCTGAGTTTTGTGCTCAAGGCTAGCACTCTACCACTTGAACCAAAGCTCTACTTCCATCTTTTTGGTGGTTAACTGGAGATAAGAGTCTCATGGATTTTCTTACCTTGGCTGGTTTCAAACTACAGATCTCAGATGTCAGCTTCCTGAGTAGCTAGGATTAGAGATGTGAGCCACCAGTGCCTAACCTCTAAGTATTTTTTAAAAAATATTTATTGTGATTAAGTGATTACATAAATTTTACAAAGTTCACAGTATTGTGAGATAGTGATAAAGTTACAAACATAGTAAGCTTCATAAGGAAAATTGTCATTATTGTGGTCTGTAAAGTTTGTGAATTCTGAGCTTTGATAGTACAGCTCTTTCTTCCATATCAGGTGATATGTACCTTTCTTTCTTTTTGCTTAGTGTTAGCTGTTCCCTCTTTCCCTCTCTTTCCCTCCCTCCCAACGCTGCCCTTGAGTTGCTTAGTTTGTTTTCATCAATGTCCAGTGCAGCTGATGGGCCCCTCTGCTGTATGTTTTCCCCTGTTTCCCTCTGATTCTGTGTCCTTCTCCTAGCTTCCCTCAGATGTATGCAGATATACCATATATGTGATCAACAGCATGGGGTCATTTAGTAATGATACGACAAGATGAGTGGAGGTCCTTTGTTTCTCGAGTACTGTTTCCTTTGTCATATCTCCTTACATTTTGTATTTAACATCCACATCTCAGGGAGACCATGGGCCATTTGTCTCTTTGCTCTTGGCTTACCTCACTCAAAATGACTTTTTTTCTAGTTCCATCCATTTTCCTGAGAATGCCATTATTTTGTCCTTTCTAATGGCTGCATAATATTTCATTGTATATAGGTACCACAATTTTTGGGTCCATTCATCTGTAGTGGGGCATCTGGGTTGTTTCCATATCTTGGCTATTGTGAACAGTGCTGCAATGAATATATGCATGTGTCCTTGTGTCCTGGTTCCTGTTGCTAGATGCATAGAAGTGGTATGGCTGGGTCATAGGGGAGGTCTATATTTAGCTTTCTGAGGTATCTCCAGACTGCTTTCCAAAGTGGTTGTATTAATGTACATTCCCACCAGCAGCGCAATAAGGTTCCTCTTTCTCTGCATCCCCTCCAGCATTTGTCCTTGGCTGAATTTAGGATTTGGGCCATTCTGACTGGGGTAAGTTGGTATTTCAGGGTTGTTTTTATTTGCATTTCCTTTACAGCCAGGAATGATGAAC